GCCTCCCCAAAAGGCAATCTGCCAGGCAAAGGCAATCACCATGGGAAAGGAGGTGTCTTTGGAGGAGAACCTTTCAGACCCTCCCAATTCTGCCAGCAGGGCAGCTCTTCCTGGTGAGAACCTCAATCCCTCCTGTCGGTCACACCTCTACTTCCTCAGGGGAGATGGAGTGGGGCCCAAATCCAGCTTTCCCCCTTTGACCCTGGCCATGGAACTAAAACAAGATTCCCCTGGGCCTCTGCAGGACTCCTGTGAGCTCTGGGTATTTGTAGATTGAACATTCACTGTTCCTTCATCCTTCATTCACTACACACAAACTGATGCTCTCTTACGAGGCAGGCTCCAAAGTCCCACCTGTCCTCGGTTTTCTTATTTAGACTCAGAAATGCCAACTTCTGCTGGCTTACATGTGAGGCCACATCTCCAGCTCCCTGCTTCTCTGGATACACCCTTGTCCCTTGTCCACAGTCTGGAAACAGCTCTGCCCCCCAAAGCTGAAGGATCCATATACTGGGGAAAGTGACCCACTAAGCCCAAAGTGCCTCTCCCCTGACCACACCCACAGCTGGCGGAGGTGGAGCCTCCAGGATTCCTGGGTCTTGAGCCACCCAGCCCCCACATGCCACTCTCAGCCCTTGGGGAAGTGACCTATTTATCCTCCTGTGAGGATCGAGATGGTGCATGAACACTCAGAGCCTGGTCTCCTTGGAAATGATTCTCTCCCCAGGTTGGTCCTGGGGGTCTCCAGGGCTGGGCTGCAGGACTCAGAATCCAGGTAACCTTGAGGGTCCCCAAGCTTTATACTAAGACCCCACAGCTCACCCAAGATGATGTGGCCACGACCCTTGCTGCTTGGGAAGCATGGGGCTGCATTCAACCCTGACACCTGGCAAAAAATGAGCTCCTTCAGCAGCACCACCCAACCCTGGGGAGAAATATTATCTCCAGTAAGCACAAGTTATGAGAATAAAAATGGACCAGACGGAAGGGCAAAGGACAGTTCCCAGGAGGAGCCTCAGTGGGTGCAGCTGTTGAAACTCCAGTAATAAAAAACTGAGGACTCAAAACAGCGCTGGACGCTTGCTGAACATGGTGAATATGAATAAATCAATAACTAAAGGGATAAGGCGGGGAGTGAGCCCTCTAATGTGGAGTGCTTGCTCTAACAGCAGGAACTGTTCTAATATCCCTAGCATTCATCTTTAAAACAACTGGCCAGGCGTGGTGGCTCACGCCTGTAATCCCAGCACTTTGGGAGGCCAAGGCAGGCAGATCACTTGAGGCCAGGAGTTCAAGACCAGCCTGGGCAACATGGTGAAACCCCATCTCTACTAAAAAGAGAAAAAATTAGTTGGGTGTGGTGGTGCATGCCTGTAATCCCAGCTACTTGGGGGGCTGAGGCATGAGAATCACTCAGAACCCAGGAGGTAGAGGTTGCAGTGAGCCAAGATTGTGCCACTGCACTCCAGCCTGGGTGACAGAGTGAGACTCTGTCCATCTCGTATATAAAGAAACTGAGGCTCAAAAGAGTTAACAACTTTTCCAAGATCCCACAGCTAATAAAAACAAGAAACCAAGATTTAAACCTATATCAGCCTCTCAAAATCACCTACCCTTAACCATGATACCAAGTGCCAGAAAAGGATGTCCAGGGAGGGCTGGCCCTAACCCGAGTGAGCTCAATGGCTCAACATTTGGAGGAGGAAACAGAAGGCCAAGAGGGCATCTGAAGGTGTGCTATTCCCCACCCAGGGACAGGCTGGGCCCAAGGGCACGGCCTGGGAAGGTAGAGGTTTGGGGAAACCCCATGGCCAGTGCAACACTGACCTTCGAGCCCCAGAGCCAGGCTCAGGGTGAAACCTGCAGAGGTTTGGGGAAACCCCATGGCCAGTGCAACACTGACCTTTGAGTCCCAGAGCCAGGCTCAGGGTGAAACCTGGGGAGGCTCAGCTGCTCCTACTAGCTGAGGGCACAGCCCCAGACAGCTGCCCACCACTCCTTCCTTCTCAACACTTCCCCACCTGCTGCCTTCATCTGGGGACACACATCCGTCTCTGTGATGCCACATAATGCTGCTATCCTCCCCACTCCAGACTTTAACTCCATCCTCTGGGGATGGGGATCCTCTTTTCCTCTTAAATAATTCTAAAGGACATTCTGCCCTGCTACCCGCTAGAGAGCTTGTCTGTGCCAGGAATTTTCTTCCTGCAGTCTAAATTCCATGTATTCTGCAGCAACTGACGGCAGGGATTTAAGTGAAGTGTTTGTTAAAAGTCACGTTTAACAGTAGAACCCATTTTCCCAAATTGAATCACAGATAGAAGCCCATTATACAGCAGATCAAGGCTCAGCTGCTCTGCCTACAGCTGGGAGAGGGTGAGAAGGCTGTCCCAGAAGCATTTTGTGGAACCCTGGGGCTCAAGGAGCATAATTTGCAAATCTTGGGGGCTGAGGTTAGGGAAGGGAGGGCAGAGGAGAGATGGGGGTGGGCATGGCCATGACCTTGGCCAATCTTCTGCAGCTGAGCAGGGCAGGCCTCAGGCTCCCCTTCTCCATGGTCACTGTGGGGGGGTCACTGAGGTCTCTTCCAGCCCCAAAGTTCTAGGGAGAGGTGTCGGAAGAACCCAGGGCAATGATTGGAGGTAGGAGGGCGGCTCAAGGCCCAAGCAGGGAAATGATTAACCACTGGCTGTTCAGTCCCAGGCACTCTCCAATCCACCCCTCACCCCCTGCAGACAGGCCTGGCCCAGCCTCACTGGTCACCAGGCCAGTCCAGGGAGAAAAGGACAAGGCCTCTGACCAGGGCACCCAGCCAGCCAGCTCCCACTGCCCCATCCCAGGACTGGCAGACTTGAATTTCTGCTTCATGCCAAGGATGGGCTGCAGGCTGGCCCCCAGCTACCCACCCACCTCCCCACCTGGGATGACGCTGTCACACCCTAGCACGGTCCTCCCCAGCCCAGGAGGCTCCGTTGACAGTGACTCACAGCCCTTTCCTGCCTGCCCGCTGAGGCTTGTTGTTCACCCAGGGAGCAGAGCGGGAGCGGTCCTCTGTTCCAGGTGCCTCATCAGGGTGACTGTTGGCAGCAGCTGCATCTGCCCACGGGGCTCTATGAGGGCTGGGACCGGGCAGGGAGGGCCGGCCAGGGGCCCCAGTGGCAGGACTGGTTCCCCAGGGCCTCCCTAGCACTTACCCTGGACATCTCATGGGAACTTGGCTGCAACCACATGAGGCCATGTCCATCTGAGCAGTGGACAAGCTTAGGCCAGACCTTGCTCCCATTTCCAAAGTTCCGGTGCCCCAGCTGCCTCCCCCCCACACACCCCCTATGCATATCCAGGCCTGCTTTCAGACACAAAATCACATATATCCCACCAGACTATGAACTTCTCAGGAAGGAGTGTCTGGTTTGTATTTTCAACCCAATGCACAGTACTGAGGTCTTCAATAAACATTTAAACTGAACACACACAGACTGACAAGCTCAAGACTCAGCCACACAAGAACCAACTCCCCACGCAGATGTCTCATCCCTTCATAGGCCATAAACACATGTGTCCACACGTACCCCCCCAACACACACACACATAAGCATACATTCATAGGCACAGGTAGGCCCACATCTAGAAGCAAAGACACTCCCACATCAACCCCCAGGCACACTGACCCACATGCAAAGTCCAAGACCTTGACTCCTCAGCAGCACCTTCAGCACAGACCTTCCTCTGTAGTAGCCTGGGTTTCTCTTCCAGAGCACTGAGTTCCCTCCATTCGTGGGGCTTACCTTTTCCCCTCTCTAGACCCCATGGGCTTCCTGCAAAGGGGTTAATGGGCAGCTGTGTTTCAGAGCATGGTGAGGTCTTGAAGGTCTGGGGAGGTAGCCCCCCAGCCCCCAGGGATGAGCTGCCGTGGAGAGGCTAATCCTGAGACAATGAGGTAGTTCTGGAGTCCTTAAAGGAGGGCAGGAGTGGGGTAGAGGAAGCCCTAGAGCACTGGAAAAACCTGTGAAAGATGCCCTGATGGGGAAGGCCTGCAGGACCCAGACACTGGAGGGTGCTGATCTGCACCTGCAGAGAGAGCCCTGGCTCAAGACCCAAATGCCCACCTGGGAGGGGCCAAGAGGCCAGTGTCTGCCTGGCTAGAAAGAGATCAAAGGAGCAGGCTTCAGCGCTGGGCTATTCCTCCAAGATGGGGGAGGGAGGCTCCAGGTGGAGGAGTGAAGTGAAGATGCTCACAGGGGGCCTTCTTGGGAGAGGTGTGGGGTCGCTCCAAGCGGGGTCGCTAGAGGTCACCAATTTCCACGAGGGGTGCTGCCTTCTGAACACCCACTTTCCCCAGGCCTCTCTGACCCTGATGGGATGTCCGGCAGGCAGGGATAGGATGCCTCATCCCCTGACCCTTTAGGGACCAGTGTACAAATACAGAATGCAGCAGCACAGATGGGGATGGCAGCTATCTTAAGGTTCCCTGCCCAGACGCCACCCCAAAATGCCATGCTGAGATTTTGAGCCTCCTTAGTGGAAAACGGGTCTGTTTCCCTCAAGTCCTCTTCACTGACCCCTCCAAGGCGGCGCTGCCTGCTCCCACTCCCAAGAAGGGCTGTAGGACACCTCCCAGGGGTCCTCTCTGCCAGAGACAGGGGGGCAGTGACGGAGGCTTCTCTCAGGAATGAGGCTTGGAGGTTACTTCTGAACACCTCCACAATCCCCCAAATCGTTCCTTCCCGCCCCCACCTTCCACAGGGGGGCCAGACCCCAGGGGGCGTCATTGATCCCCAAGCACCCAGTGTAGAGCCTCAGGCCCGGAAGGGAGAAGACCCACCCTGTAATCTCAGGGGTCCCGAGTTTGGCCCCAGTCCTGTCTCCCGCGAGTCTCAGCAAGACCAGGGTCCGGCTTCGGTGCCAGGGTCCCAGGCCAGGAGGAGGCCGGTGCCCGGGGAGAGGAGACCCAAAGGCGCGCCGCGGAACCCGTGCCCCGCCCGGCTCCCTCCGGCGCTCACCTGGACAGCGCGGACCAGTCCTTCCTGCTGACAGCCATGCTGCAGGAGCCCCGCGTGGCCGCCCGCGCCCCGCCGGCCGCCGCCTCACCTGGCGCCCCTCCCCCGCCCGCCCAGGTGGGGTCACATGGCCGCTTATCTCACCCCCGCGCGCCCCGGCCGCGCTCCGATTTGCCGACCCGGGAGCGGCCTCTGGGGTGTGGGCGTCCCAGACAAAGCCGCATTGATCGCAGCCCAGGCCGGCCGGGCCGCGAGGCTGCAAGCGCTGGGTGGAACGTCGGAGTGGTCGCGGGACCGACGGACGGACGCCCGGGGCCGGCGTGGAGCTGGTCGGCTGCCCCGGGCGAGGGCGGGTGACTTCCTGCTCGGAACCAGTCGGACCAGCTTGGCGCTGGGCCGCCTCCTCGCGCGGTGTCGCGGCCCGGGGTGCCGGGGAGCTGGGCTGGGGGCAAGAAGCTGAGCGGAAAAGTTAGCGCAGGTACCGTAATCTCGGGTCTAGAGCGCCTGCGCCTTCTGGGCTCCTTCCCGGGGAGCGCCCTCCCAACTCCCGGGCTTCAGAACCCCCACCCCGGGCCCACCGCCCCAGTAGGCCTCGCTGAGATGAACCGGGCATTGCTTTCTGAGCAGCACGCAAAGCATACCCCTGGTAGAGTCCACCCCACCCAAAGGGAGAATCTTAGACTCAATTCAGCAAACATTTGTGTGCCCACAGCCTGAAAGCACAAATATGTCAAAGGCACTGTCCTTGCTCTCTGATACTGGACTTTGGGCTGGAGTGGCAGGGTGTATAATAAGGGCAGAGGAAGCTCAGCTTTTCTCCCCCGAGGAAATATTAAACACAGATATCTAGGACTCGAATTTTGGAGCACCATGAGAGAGCTCAGGCACCCTCGGCACCACCTGGCTCCCTTCAGGTGCGCATTTAGGCTGGCGCGGTGCCAGGTGCTTTCTATCCAGGACCAGCCTCAGGTGGGCTGAGAGAGGGTCAGGGCCTGAGCATGAGGATTCTTATCTTCCCTGATGGATCTGAACTGCAGGGTCGGCGCAGCTGCAGTTCCTGCCCTGAGAGGAAGGAGGCACAGCCCCCAGGGCCGGGATGAGAAGATCAAAAGGGAGCCGAGGCAGCACTGCCCAGCCTCAGCCTTCCAGGCTTCCAGCGCTAAGGTCTCATGGCGAAGGGCAAGCCAGCTGCCGGGCAGAAGCCTGGAAACACACACACACAGCCTGTTGAGATTCCTCCTCCCAAAGTACCCCCTCCTCCAGGGAGCCTTCCTTCTTGGCATAGGAAGAGCAGGAGGAGATCCAGGGCATGAGAACTGGACTGGTAACCTGCACACTTGACTTTAAGCTCTGATTCTGACATTTGTGAACTTGGTGCAAACTGCCTCAGTTTCCTCCTCTGTGGAGTGGGAGTGATGGTACCTTGCTCTGCTTCCTTCCAGGTTGTGGAAATCAAATGAGTTCCCTGCTAGTGACACTGGAGGGAGCAGATGAACATTGACAAGACCCCAGGGAGTTCTGAGCAGAGGCCAAGGCAGGCCCTGGAGCAGTTTGCTTTTTCCAGGGAAAGAGAAAGAGGGAACGGCAAAAGTCTAGATCCCTGGATCCTCTGACCCTGGGGCCTGACACTGTCAGGGAAGCTCCTGTCTCCCTGGGGACCTACTGAATGTTCTTCCCATCACTGGTCAGTGATGGCACCTCAACACAGGAAGAAAAATAGTCCTATGAAGTCATTTGAAGTCATGCCAGGGACACTTCATGAAGCCAGGGAACAGTCCAGTTTCTAAAAGCCCAAATTCTAATAGTCTCTACAGATATAAAATCCCCAAGACATGGAAGGTTTGTAGGCAGACAACTCTAGAAGTAAGGAAAAGTGAATGACATACATGTTAGTGCCCAGAAAGTTCCTTAAGGGCAAGCATTGTACATTTACTGGACACTTTTTTTTTTTGGAGCCAGAGTTTTGCTCTTATTGCGCAGGCTGGAGAGCAATGGCTCGACCTTGGCTCACTGCAACCTTTGCCTCCCAGGTTCAAGAGATTCTCCTGCCTCAGCCTCCCTAGCAGCTGAGATTACAGGCATGTGCTACCATGCCCAGATAATTTTGTATTTTTTTAGTAGAGATGGGGTTTTTCCATGTTGGTTAGGCTAGTCTTGAACTCCTGACCTCAGGTGATCTGCCCACCGTGGCCTCCCAAAGTGCTGGCATTACAGGCGTGAGCCACCATGCCCGGCCTTATGGGATACTTTCTGCCAGCTGCCGTGCTTGGTGCTGAACCAGTGCATCCATTTCCTGGGGCTACTGTGACAAAGTGCCACAAACTGGGTGGTTTTAACAACAGAAATTTACTCTCTCACAGTTCTGAAGGTTAGAAGTCAGATCAAGATGTGAGCAGAGGCTGGGCGCGGTGGCTCAAGCCTGTAATCCCAGCACTTTGGGAGGCCGAGGCGGGTGGATCACAAGGTCAAGAGATCGAGACCATCCTGGTCATCATGGTGAAACCCCGTCTCTACTAAAGCTACAAAAAATCAGCTGGGCATGGTGGTGCGTGCCTGTAATCCCAGCTACTCAGGAGGCTGAGGCAGGAGAATTGCCTGAACCCAGGAGGCGGAGGTTGCGGTGAGCCGAGATCGTGCCATTGCACTCCAGCCTGGGTAGCAAGAGCAAAACTCAGTCTCAAAAAAAAAAAAACAAAAAAAAAGAGATGTGAGCAGAGCCAGGCTCTCTCCAAAGGCTCCAGCGGAGAGTCCTTCCTTGCCTCTTCCTAGAGCTCCTTCACATACAGCTCCATCACTCCAAGCTTTGCCTCTGTTGTCACACAGCATTCTCCCTGTGTCTCTGTGTTGGTGTCCAAGTCTCCCTCCATCCTAATTTAGGATGACCTAATTTTAGCTTGATTATGCCTGCAAAGACCCTATTTCCAGAGAAGGTCACATTCACAGGTGCCAGAAGTTATGAATTGAACACGTCTTTTTGGGATGTGTTCTACCCACTATAACTCATTCTGCCCACTATAATCAACAAGTGGTTTTGACACTCAGGGGCACAAAGATGATAAGGACTCAGCTCCTGACCTCAGGACATTCTCAATCTAGGAGTGCAGACACACACATGCTGGTGAACACACACACGTACACAAGCATACAGACACCCCAAGCCTCATTCAAGTCAGACTGTGATTAAAAATGGAAATTGTGTCATCAGGAGGGATTGGGGAAGTCTTCACACAGGAAAGAACATCTGGGTTGGGCCTTGAAGGGTCAGTGGAATGCAATAGTCAGAAAGGGCGTAAGGGCATCCAGCTACAGGACACAGCATAAACAAAGACATCGGGACGTAAAAATGAAACGTGTGTTTGGAACAGAGAGAAGACTGGTCTGTGTGAAGCACTGAGCCCCTTCAAGACTGGAAGGAAAGGTTGGAGACAGATAGTGAGGACTGTGTGTGTTGTGCTAAAGAGTCAGTCAGCCTTGGCTGGGTGTGGTGACTCACACTTGCAATACCAGCATTTTGGGAGGCTGAGGCGGGCAGATCACTTGAGGTCAGGAGTTTAAGGCCAGTCTGGGCAACATGGTGAAACCCCATCTCCTAAAAAGACAAAAAAATAGCTGGGTGTGGTGGCTCATGCCTGTAATCCCAGCACTTTGGGAGGCCAAGGCAGGCAGATCACTTGAGGTCAGGAGTTCAAGACTAGCCTGGACAACATGGTACAACCCCGTCTCTAATAAAAATACAAAAATTAGCTGGACATGGTGGGGTGCACCTGTAATCCCAGCTACTCGGGAGGCTGAGGCAGAAGAATCACTTGAACCCAGGAGGCAGAGGTTGCAGTGAGCTGAGATCACACCACTGTACTCCAGCCTGGGCCACAGAGCAAGACTCTGTCTCAAAAAAGCAAACAACAACAACAAAAAAAAAAAGAGAGAAAAAAGAAAAACAGCCTTCACCCTGTAGAATAAAGTTGAAGTTGAAAATAGAAAATGAGAAGCATTTGGAGGCAGTGTGGCAAGAGGTCACACTGGAAGGGAGACTGCTTGGGGGCTGTTTTTATAGTGACAAAAGAAATTAAGAGCTCCTAAGCAGGCCGGGCGCGGTGGCTCACGCCTGTAATCCCAGCACTTTGGGAGGCCGAGGCGGGTGGATCACGAGGTCAAGAGATCGAGACCATCCTGGTCAACATAGTGAAACCCCGTCTCTACTAAAAATACAAAAAATCAGCTGGACATGGTGGTGCGTGCCTGTAATCCCAGCTACTCAGGAGGCTGAGGCAGGAGAATTGCCTGAACCCAGGAG